TCCGATAGCCTGTTTCATTCTAAACAAAAAATGCCTCTTGAGTTTTTTGCCCAAAATAAACCAGTTCGCAGCAAAAAATTATTTTACAAACAACTACAGAGATACATCGTCACAGTTTTCTCTTAACGTGTGGCTCGGAGTTATTGGGGATGATTAATTGGGCCTCATTTTCTACCTCCTCGATTAAATGGTGAGGCATACGTTCAATTTTTAAGAGAAGTGCATCCAGTACTGTTGGAGGAAGTTCCTTTGGGCGTCAGAAGGGATATCATTATTTTATATCATTATTGGGAGTGACAAAGTCACTCCCAATAATGATATAAAATCGGGAACAACATCTCGACCACAGACATTAGGCATGAACATCTGCTGACCACGGCCAAAAAACCCGGAAAATAGCTGTCACACAACCTATTATTTACTTTTACATGAAAATAATAATAATAATAATAATCGTCTTTATTGTTACCCAGCTGTAGTTACATACACATATTTGAATTAATTGGAGAGCTAGTTGGCTGATATAACAAAAGGCAAAGTTCAACTCAGTTAGCACAAGTGCTACTGAGTTGTTTTTCCACTCAACCTCAATCACTCTGGAACTTTCATAGAATAATTTCCTGTTGAATTTGTGCCCAAAAACCATTGATACCTTACTAAAATTGAAATTGAGAGTGTATCATGTTGGATATAATGAATCAGTGTTGTAACGGAGCCATGTTAACGGAGGTTGAAGCCGAGGTGCAAATGTGGCCTTCGCGTTAATTGGCGAATTTATGAATTTAGATTATAAATGATATGAATGAATAATTATTTTTTACATATTTCGCTTTCTCAAAATGACTAACGTTTCAGCAATTCCTAAATATCTAAAAAATTATTGGTGAAAAATTCCTCAATTGGAAACATACTGTATAAAATAAGGCTCCATCATAGACAAAATTTATAAATACGAAAAGTTACTGTTTAATTGAACTCAATAAAAGTACTGTAATTGTACAGTACTTCGTTAAACTCCGTTGAGTAAGATAAGGATGTGAGGATCCGTTACAACCCTGATATAAATAGGTGTTGTTAAGATAAGTTATTAGTATAGTTCATTCCCTGATAACTTGCCTGATTGAATGCGAGTCGAGAAGAGTCGATTTCGGAAAATCAATTTCATCTAATTTCGTGGCTAGTGGTAATCCATCGCAAAAAATCAGTTTCAGAAATTCCAACCATTTCGTTGTCGAGATACCAGTCTTCGATGGTGATGCAGGTAAGTGTTTGCGACAGCTCAAGAATTCAGTGCAAGGAAGACATAAGATATCCTGCTATCGAGGAGTTGATAAGTTACCTCCTAGCTGCACAACATAGCTTCCTAGGTTTGTTAATAGGATCAACGGTTGGAGAACTGAGAGCTCTTTATTTTTATCTGATATTACAGGGAGAGCAGTTGGGATAATTTAGTCGACATTCAGCACTTATTTAGATTTAGGCTCGAGTTCTATTGTTCCTTCGTGGTACATAAAGGGTTCAAGGAGTGTTTAGTATTACCGTGACAAGGTTTTCTATAAAGAGCGAACTCTTGGTACGTCCTTTTGATACAGATACAGAAACCTCAGGATGAGGGGTTATTAGATAGTACTCTTACCTTCACGGGTGATATCTCACTCGACAAGTTTATTCTGATCATCATGAGTCAGGCGTCTCCCAAGCTGCAAAAAACTAATTTTTCTCAATTATTTCGTTTAATATTCGTTTTACTGAACACTGATTATGACGGTACGAGAAGACATATATCAGGCTCACCAGCTTGCATCTAACCAATTCCTACCGCCGATAGAAGTCAACATCTATCACAATACGATGAAACGTCAGTATCTCTTCAGTTCCTATATTGCAGCACTATCAGATGTAAATAAAAAACCATATGCTGGACAAGGTTATGCTGTGGAAAACCAAGGTGCTAAAGACACTATCCTAGTGACTAGTAAGTTAGGAGAAAAACAACGATCAGATCAGACCTGTTATATCAACTCACTCTTACGCAGTCGTAAAAGTAAAGGTGACATTAACATCTTAGATCACTACTGAACATTCCTACTAAATATTTCTTATATCTAGTTTTGGTTTTCTGTTTCAATTTTTTCTCCTCCGAAGTCGTGCGTAATTGCAATGATCCACTTCAATCCCTGCAGTGGTACTACAGCCTGGTTTTATTAGGTTCGTTCCAACCAGCGTCAGAAACAGTTTCTGACAGTCAGGATTCTGCGCAGTAATGTGATTGCGTTCCAACGTGAGTTTCCAACCATTAGTGAACTATCAGTTTTCTGTTCCATCCAAGATTCAAACCTGTTCGAAATCTATCAGAATGGTTTGAAGATTATCTTCTAACCATCAATCTGACGCATGCGTATTCCGTATTACTGTTTCTGTTTTATGTTCATGCGACTTACAAACAACATAACCTGCAAAAATTGTTATAAAATAAATTATGCATTTGCTGGCGCAGGAAAAATTGGGAATTCTTTAAGTGAACCTATAATATGAACATCTTTAATTACACAAATTAATAATTGCGGTGACCTCCCAGTTCCATGTTGATAAGTAAATAGAATAGAGATATAAAATACTGCAACCTTCTTTTACTCTTCAGAAATACACTTGATTAGATTTATTTTTAAAGAATTGAAGGGGTTATATTTTTAGGAGTGACATTCGTTGTGGAATGTTTGAAATACAAACTGAGTAGAGAAAAGTATCTTCTGTATAATTCAGTGTTCATATAGAAGTATTTGTTTCGAAAGAATTTTTTTTTCTTTCGTGTAATTCAATGTTTATATGAAAGTAGCTGTTTCAGGAGGACATTCTTTCAGTTTGTGTCTGAAAGTTACTTCCTTACATGATCTACACATCCATGTATAGAGTTACTTATTTTCAAATTGATTAACTTCCTTCCTTTCTTTGGAAGATTCCCTCATTCCCTTTTTTGTATTAAGATGGAGTGGTAGAAAGCCAAAAACTTTCTTTCCCAAATTATTTTTAAAGGTTATGTTGAAATTCCATGCCAAACTTCAGTTGAACTATCAGCTGTTCCAATCAGAAATTTCAAATTAATCAGAAACCAATATTTACCAGACATGCGCGTTGTCAACGAAACAGTTGGAAATCTGTTTGTGACTCAAGGTTGGAACGAACCTATTATAAAAGCTAGAATGAAGTGCATCATGACCAGCAATTTTCATTGTTCGGGTTGGAAAGAACAATTTTTCTCTGTTTTCCAATGTGCATCAATCTAACTGGCACTCAAATCATTTCAGAAAGAAATCTGCTTTCATTTTTGAAGATCTGTTTTTGTTTATCATAGAGATTATCAACAGAGTACAATTATTTTTGTGGAACTGTATTTTGGGATATTTTTTCAATCTCCCACACCTTTCATAGACAAAAATCAAATAATTCATTAGTATTTGTTTTTACTTATGTTTGTAAATGAAAAAAAAAATGTGTTTATGTGTAAAGTAGTACTTGATGTCAAGGGGGAAACTGATTTCATTGGTAAAAATCCATTTTCAGATCATTCCTAATTATTCATTGTGTGTTTTTTTATTTCAGCTCGCTTTCACTTGAAATGTCCCCGCTGTCATAAAACATATAAAAACAAATCATCCCTATCATCGCATCTGTTACAACAGTGTATTGAAGCCAACTTTGTATGTAAATACTGCTACAAGAAATTCAAGAGGAGAGACCGAATGAATAATCATATTCTGAGAGTTCACTGATGAATAAATGTAGTAGAAGGGGAACTATTTCTTCAAATAACCGGCCAATATCTGTTTTTTGTTACTTACAATGTTCAAAAAAATTGAATTGAATTCAAAAATGCAATATTCTGCATTATAAGGACAACACAGAATGATGACTATTTCTTTGTGTTATTTTTTGGATGGGTTTCTAGTATTGGAATAATTCTAATTCAATTTATTTTTGAAATCGTTTAAAAAACGTATTTGAGTTTGTTATTGTCAGAACAATCATTGATTGTAACTTTCTAAACCTATTTCAATACATGAACGTTTGGTTCACTGTGTATATTTTTTTTTTCGAAACAATTGAAAATGAGTATATTGCAATATTGAAATTTCATATGATTATTTGGTTTATTATGTTTGAAGTATTTTTTTTCGATTTCTATTCAAAAAATTTTTAACGACAAATCAATAATTCGTAGTAGAAATCAAACTTACGCTTTGAGCATCTGATTACATTATAGTTCGTTCAGTATTGTCTGCGAGTAAAAGAATTTCAATAATGCAAACATGTCGCTACGTCAAAGAAAGCAGCATAGTCGTCTCAAGCAAATAGCACTGCAATTCACCCAGAAAATCATTGAGATATGTCTACCCTCTATATCCCTTGAGGACGCCGCTAACGAGCCATTAAAATAGGGATATCCGACAAAGAACGCGAAAACACCGACAAAGAATGCGAAAATACCGCCAAAAGAACCGCTCGATGTTTTTTCTGATATTTTGTTTAAGATAATATTAATAGGCGTCGGACTGGGGGTATTAATATAAATTTTCCATTGATATATTCTGTATGATGAGAAGATAATTACAATATGCTGAAAACTAATTTTGTTTAAATATTTTATTATGGGAACGACAATTTATATTTGAAATAGTTTTTCATTATTAAGAATTGTTACCTTCTACAGATCTGTAGAATAATCAGAATATTAAATTTACAAATAAATACAAATGTAGAAAGGGCAAAAAGTTACTGCATTTGATAAATCAGCTTTTTGGAAAAAAAATCAAATTTGTCATCAACTTGAATTTAAAAAATTTTGCATATTAAACGAAATATGTATCATCTGGTGAAGTTTTAAAGACTATCCATTTTCTTTATCCAACCTATTTAAATCAAAACATTATAATTTGTTGCTATGATTCGTCTTTAGTTTTTTCCCAAGCTTTTTGGTCGACTGTTTCCAGAGCACTGTATAGTTATTTCTTTACTTCACACAGCTTGAAGGTCTTATTATTCCTTGCGATGAATCCTTTACCTTGAGCCCAAACCAACTCTATTGTTTTCAATTCACAGTGATAAGGCGGCAACCGAAGAACCGACATTCCTTTAGTCTTCGCCATCTCATCGGTGACATACCTGACGAATTTTGACTTATGACGTTTAGCCAAGTTGAGGAGCTCCGCTTTTGACATGGTCGATTCAAAAGGAATAGTTTTCATTTGTAACCACTCAGTGATATCTGCTTTCTTCCAACACGACGTCGGCAGCTTATCGACTCGTCTACTACTTGCGTTATTCATTACAATTACGGATCCCTGCGGAAGTCTTACAAGTATGTTTTTGAACCATTCTTCGAATACTGTGGCATCCATTTCTTGATGATAATCCCCATTTTTCTTCGTTTCAAACACCATCAATCCATCTTTCACGAATCCTTCACTGCTGCCTATGTGATGATGAGATGATGAGACGACGACCTTTTCCAACTGGAATTTTCAAACCAGTGGACCAACCTTCCATAAAGGCTTGTCTTTCACTTGTCAAACCTTCGAGACGGTATGACCCTCTTTGACCCATGTTTCATCCAAATAAAAAATAAATTTATCTAGTGCTCTGGCTTTCTTTATTTCTATTGAACAGTTTCTTCTTCATTCTACTATCTCTGATTTTTCTATTAACATGCTCTTTCTATCTTGCTTTCCAAAAGTGAAATTCAACTCATGTAATATCTTTCATAATCGAGTTCTTCTTATATCAGGAAAAAATTGTCTTCACGAATAACTGACAAAACTTTATTCAATGTAGGTATTTCGTTTTTTATGTAAAAATTGTCCCAATAGAATTCTTGACTTCTTCATCAGTAACACTTTCTACCAGTGGATACTTTCGGCTCGAAAAAGTTGTTGTTTTCCTTGAGTTCCTTGAGAAATCTAAAAATTGTCGATCTATTGACACCAGTCATATTCGCGCATTTTTGTACTACTTCCTCCTCACTTTTTATTTCGGGCGGATATTGTATTCTTAAAGAATTATATACATTCATTCAATGTATCAAACTGGTTTGATTTTCCTCTTGAAGATAATCACTTGGTGATCGAAACACGTTTCGAGGTGTTAAAATAAAGTCCAGTAATTATTCAAGTCGAGTACAAACAACGTCATCCATTTAGATCCTCTATGCAACATGATGGGGCTCCTGCTTATTGCGTAGTACCAATGCAACCAGTTTCCGTGTCAATGGATTGGATGGAGCGGTACTTCAAAATAACCACCGAGATACCCTAATTCTACAAGGAGGAGAAATTACTAGGTGTTGTAGACTAGTCTTTAGAATATAAGGGAGGAAACAGAAGCAAGTTAATGGCGCTCAATTCGAACATTTAATAAATTTCCTGTTTGGTTTCACATTATTTTTCGAAATTAAATACAAACTCAAAGAAAGTATTTTATTTTTGTGGAAGAGTTAGATACATAGTTGAAAAAAACTTTCAAATAAAGTGTCACTCGACTACTATTCCTATCTGTGGGTTATTAAGAGGAGGGGATGACTGACAGAGGTACTAAATTCTAGTGACAAAATATCAAAACATTGTCAATGCTGAGAGAAATCGCAAAGTAAGAATAAACGAGAGTGAAGAACCAACTACAAAAGCAGATGACTAGATGATAAAATTGCTTTTTCCAATTATTTGAGACCGTTTTTTTTTACCAAATTCAAAATTTCCCCACAATACATGTGGTGTGTCATCAACAACAGAAGCGGTATGAAAACTAAATTTCCTTGCTGATCAAATTACATTTCAAACCACAGTTGATTTTGATAAAAAGGCACCACCGACTACTCCTACTGTAGAATCAATATTGCCATATACATGGTGTTTATTAAATATTCGGCAAAAAAATCAAAAGACTATCCCTTGAAATTTTCTAAGAATATTTTGTGCTTTGATAATTTTCGATAGGGCGCCTCGTTTTGAAGATACGGGACGATGAACTTATGAAGGAATTAAAAATCTAACAATTCATTTAGATTACTACTAACGGTTTGATGGGTCTAACGCAATCAGAATCGATCCTGGTGTTTTTGAAAGATTTCGGCAGTCGATGAGGAGGAGATTGGATTTTTTCATCCGAGCGAGGGTAGTCATTATCAACAGTTCTTGTAGATTAAGAAATATTACATGTCATTTTCGTCAATAAATTGTTTATTTTGATTTAATCTGATTCAGGGTGTTATCTCAGTGAGCTCTGAAATTACATTTTTTCGAAGATACGGGGCAAAAAAGAATTTCCACAATAACAATTTTGGTAATTTCAAAATTATCAACTTAGCCGGAATAAATGTATAGCGTAGTACACTGGACCTACCAAGTAATAAAAAATCTAACAATTCCCTTGGTATCTATCAACAACATTCCGATTACTACAAACGGCTGCAAATATTCAATTTGAATAGTTTGTCTCGTGAGTGATTCTAGTGTTTTTGAAAGAGTTCGGAAGTCGATGAAGAGAAGATTGAGTTCTTGCATTCGAGATGGAGGTAGATATTTTCAACAATTCTCGTAGGTTAAGAAACATTACATGTAATTTTTGGTAGTAAATTGTTATTGTCGGAATTCTGTTTCGCTCCGTATCTTCGAAACAAAGCGCCCTATCAAAAATTGCCAAAATACAAAATATCCTTATAATAGTCCAAGAAATAGTCCCTTAAATTTTTGCCGCATGTTTAATTATCACGCTTAGACGAATATTGAAATAACTCAACATAAACAGAGTTTTTGATCTGATGAGGTACTTGTTATTGTGGTTGAAAATACACTAACTAATTTGTACCGATTTTTTGTCATACGCTTAACATATCTTCCAAAAGAAGGGATTTTCTTTCGATTGGAAAACTGCTCTAGTTCAACATTTACCCAAGGAAAGAAAAGAAAAATATTTCTATGAAAAACTTATCAAATGAAAATTAATTATTTTATGGTTACAAATCTTCATTTTTAGATAAATTAAAAATTATTTGGAGATGAGAAAATGATATTAATTTTTGATAATTTTTCCAATAACTTTTGTTTTTTTCAAAATGCAATATTTGAGATTCAAGAGGGTGGATCATCCATTTGGATAGAAAATGATTGAAAAATAGTCGTGGCAAAGTTGAGTCATTCAAATCAATTATAAATACATACTTTCTATGGTTATAAATTCAACTCTATCTTTCTGTGTTAACATATAGAAATCGTGTGAAAGAGTGAAAGTGTAGATTATATGATGGGAAACAACTTTTATTATTTTTTTTTGTGCGAGACATAGGAGATAGACGCATTTCAAATATTGGTGTTGGACCCCGGGAAAAAGCCAGATGGTTTAAATTCAATAATTTTATTGTCTTGAACAAGATTCAATGTTGAAATGGAACCATTTTTTTGTTTATTTGAGACCCCGCTAATTCAAAAAAAATATTTGCTATATTCGAAATCGCAAGATTATTCCTTCCAAATACAATGAAAAATGAATTCTACATAACGTTTGTTCCTCGAAAATGATTCTTCAGAATTTTCATAGGATTTTTTTCTAATGCTATGTAGTTGATAACCAACTGTCACTGACTGTAATAACAAAAAATAACCACGATAATCTAAACTCATTCTCGCCTGAAATAATAATAACCATTGTTGTTTTTTTCAGTTTGTTATGGATATCAGTGTTCGAAATGTTTGAAAATGTACAAATATAAATGGAACCTGCTACGCCATAGTCGATTTGAATGTGGAATGGCTCCCCAATTTGTGTGCAAAATTTGTGCGAAGGCCTTCACACAGAAAAGCAGTCTAAAGTCTCATGTTGCATATATACACGGATTCAACTTGATTGTGAAGTAAATAAAAATAGTGGCTCTAAGGAATACGTAAATCTGGCGATTTTAGGAAGTCCTCAGAAACAACTGCAATTTCGATGAAATTTATATTATGTATTTGAAATTAGAAACCTTTTGAAGCGAAGACAAAATTATTTATATTGTTTTAACAATATGCATGATATTCATTATTTCTGTATTAATCAATTCAACGTCAGTAGAACAGTACATTAAATATTCACATAAGAATTATGAAACTAATGTTGAAGTTGTTTTTGATGGATATAACAATGACGTAAAGTATGGGAAATACACTTACTAATTCATCTCTGTTTCTCCGTACTGGTAAGTCCTAGGAAGCTTAAATTTGGTATCAGGTGCTTCTTAGGTCTAAGATGCGCACTAAGAAAGGATTTTTAAATATTCTTACTGGGGAGCCAGCTGCGGGGAAAAAAGCGCTTTTAAAAAATAAAGTACCGGTATATTTTTGGAGACTGAAATTTTGTATGTAAATCCGCTTTATATTGTAGATATGCAGTTAAAAAAGGATCTTTTCAAATATTCTAAATGGAATGCCAGCCGCGAAGGAAAAAGACGCATTCATAAAATAGAGTTATCTTTTAATCATTGTTTCTCCATACTGTTATATTTTTGGAAGCACAGCATGTAATTTGATATTACAGATTTAAAATGCAGGGATATAGCGGTTGTGGCGGTACCGGGCCAAGTATATGTCGCTCACTCAAGAGTAACCTCTAAAGAAAACATGTTTGTATTGTCTACTGACAAAAAACTGTGAACGTTGTATATAAAGACAGTATATTTAGTATCAGCATTGCACTCGTGCGGAGCCGGAGCCGATCGCTAGTAAGTTATACTTCTATTCTTATTTGAAAAAGACATGCCTTGTGTAATGTTTTTCCCTTCCTGTTACAGACTTCGAATCCTTTCCTTCACAGCGGAGGATTCAAGTCAGGTAAGTCTTGGGTCCGGGCGCCAGTTTTTTGAGAGTGATTTGCATCACTGTTTCCTTGTTCGAAGGAGAAGGGAGGCCCAAAAAGTAATGAGCAACGAAAAACGAATAAGTGAGCAATGGTGGTTGATTTGTCAGAAATTTTGTATTGCAGTGACAGTGTTGAGAAAAAATCTCGGTGAGGTAGGCAGACTAAAAAATGATAGCTTTCTGCGCAGGTTATTACTAGTCTGGCCAAGGAGTTTTTTAAAGATGATAAAGAACGCAAATACTTGAATACGCGAAAGAGGAGTGCACAACCTGTTTGTAATATTGCTCTTGTTGAGTTGCAAAACTGTTCGTTCGTCCACCAGGTATTAACATACCTGACATGGTAAAAAATAACGTGATGCTGACTGGACAACCTGTAGGATTTTCTATTGGGCAAAGCAACTCCTTCCGCAGGCAGGTCCTCGCATACTTTTGGAAACTAAAATCAGGGTGTCTTAACACGCCGGTTGATAGGTCACTAATTCTGCAAATCATAGCAACTAAATATTCGGAGCAAACTTCAATCCTATCCCCCATATAAGTATCTCCGAACACAAACGCCGTGGTGATGATCTCACAAGCTTTCTTTTCAGGAAGCAAAGCAACTTGTTTCACCAGCAGTTACTCTCAACTAATTATTTAATGTTACTTCGCGATTTTAGTTCCTTCACAAGAATGAAATCAATTCCATGTAGTAGTTACACACATCCCTTCATGAATCAAAATTACTTGACTTTGAAAATGGTGAAATTGAGAAAAATATAGTTTCCTCAAACCAAACTTTCCTAAATTTTCGAAAAGAAACACATAATATCGTGTTTGGTCACTAATTGAAGGGCATGAAAAATAGAAATAAACGAGAAATGGAAAGGAAACAATGAAAATGAAATCAAACTGAGTTACCGTGTCTCTAATTCGACGTGGCGGCGTGGCTACGACTTATCTAACTGTAGTGACTGTCAAACAGTTGAAACCATTGACTTTCAACTTTATTGAATCAAAATTCAAAATTATCATCTGTACCAAGCTTATTTCTCAATTTGAATTACACTTTATCGTGGGATTTTTGCTGAACAGCTTACAAAACGTCAACACGTGTTTGATATACAATAGCTTCCTTAAGAGTGTTCGTACTATGCACTTCTCAAGGCTAGACGTGATACGGTGGAAACGATTTTCTCATCGCCTCGAACCTCAGAATCTAGTGTCTTTCCAAGCTCTCGTATATTTATAGCGGTGGTAAAGGTAAGTAGAAAAATAGTCAAAAAACAATTGAAAAAGACTCGTTTCTCAGTATTGTACTACACAGCTAACTTCATCTCCTGAAGACGCCATCTTGGTTGGTGAAACGTGTATCGAGAAAATTATTGTAGTCATAGTGTTAGAAATGACCAATAACATTTGTTAATTTTTCAATAATTTTTTATTTGTTTTGAAACCTTTTGTAGAATCTGAAGTGAGTATTTGAATTATAATCGTTCAGTATTATAATTTTTCATGTATGTATAAAAATCTCATCTGACAGAAAAAAATTGTTGATGGAAAACCGTCAATATTTGAAAGAAAGAGATTGATATTGAAATTCTTTTTTGAGATTTGACAAGTTGAAAAATGTTTGTTTGAATTATTCACTTTCTTATTTGCGTTATTTTCAAAAATTTGGGTATATAGATATATACATTATACATTGTTATGTATATGAAGGTGCCCTGTTGATGAAATTATTTGCTAGTGAAACTAGTCACAGTGGTTTATTGATATATACTGTGAATTGGTCCCTCAGTAACCTATTAAAACTAAGTATTCTCAACATAAAGTGTTTAGGAAAAACGCTCCTTTTTGATTCTTTCTACCCCGATGGTTCCAGATTCTCTTTGCCATCATTATTATATCCATCAAAAACAAAGGTAACTTTGATACAAATCGTAGTTTACTTTTTAGGAAATCTGTTTTAGAAAAATTCAACATTCTTATGTTTGTTATATATGATTTCAGACCAATAAATATATGTAAAAATGTATTGAGAAAATGATTTGAAATTTCTGTAAAATGGGACATATTCGAGCAGGGATTGATTTAGAGAGGAACTCAAAAATGGATTCGTTTGAAAAGCAGAACGTACATGTTTTAAAGTATCATGAATGAAACTGTGCAGTACTCAGCACAAAATTGAATTTATATTTTACGAATATCTTATTATAAGAATATACCTGTATATCTTTTATTGAAAATTCATTGTACTGAATCTAATATCAACCAAGAAGTACAGAAATTACTTAATTTCTATGTCTTTTCCTGATTACGCCAGTAAACATTGGCAGAAAAGTACTGATCGATGAGAAGTGTTAACGATATTGATACATCTCATTGAAACTCAAAAAGCAGAAAAAGGATTTCCATCGACGAATGATATTTTATGAGTTATATCAATAAAATTGCAACATTCATAGTATCTTTTTATTACTATTTCGAGTATCGTTTTTATACTTTCAACTGCTTCAACTTTGATTGGACTTGATAATCAACAATACTATCATTTATTCAACTCTCCACAATCTTAATTGTATTATGAAACTTAAAATCAAACAAGTGACACTTCTCTTTCAATAATATAATGATAACAGGAGAGTATTCAGAAGAGATTTTTTCAAAAACGTTGAACAAGGATCCACGTTAAAATTGAAATGCTACGAAAGATCACCATGTTAGTCTCAATGTTTTGATTAGTCAACTTGAAGAGAGCAGGTAATCCTGAAAATTAATAAAACTATTAAAACTAGATAAAACTAGATTATATTAACTATCTAGACTATTTCCAAGGTGTCAATTATATTCACATTTCACCCTATATTTCACAGACTACATGAAATCTGTGTATTCAGGTATGTGATGGAATCGGTCGATACTTGATGAAAATCCATAACTTATTCAAGAAACGGTCGATACTTGATAAAAATTCATAACTTATTCAAGAAAGGGTCGATACTTGATGAAAATCCATAACTTATTCAAGAAACACTTTAATACAATATGAAAAACTGTTATGAAACTGTTTAGTGAAAACTTCACATTGAAGTGTTTCTTGAATTTGTATTCAGGCTTAAGGTGCCGCGCAAAGAAAACAGAAAAGGGAGATATGTATTTATATCCTGGACTCGGATGTCGCGCAGGTAGCTATAGCTGCCTACGTGGTAATGTTAGATGTAGCCTGTGAAGTCTAGGTCTTCTAACTGGAACCATAAATGTGCGGTTGGCTTCTGTTGTTGACTCCGTGCGTATGTGTTGTTTCCTGCTTTCGGCAAACAAGTGTTGCCGAAAGCAGTTGGTGGGAGATGATCATCGGGAAATTAGTGCTTTTCAGGCAGTTAGAAGTCTTTGACCGTCATCACGTTTGTTCAGGCAGAAAGTTCGCTTTTCGATTTCGATGGCCTCGCGAATTATCCGAGTTTGGAGTGTTTTCGCTGAGGCGATGGTCTTAGTGTTCGCAAAGTCTATGTTGTGTCCTGTCTTTTGATAATGTTTTGATAAGGATGAGGATGGATCTGACTTTCGGACAGCAAGTTGATGTTCGTATACTCTACTTGGCACACGTCTGTTGGTCTGGCCTACATATGTTCTATCGCAATCGGAGCATGGAGTTTCATGTATACCTTGGGATTCATTGATAATTTTGTCCTTGGGAGAACGAAGGAATGTGGAAATTTGATTGTTGGCGGTGATTATCGTTTTTATGTCCTGTTTTTTGAGAATTTGGCCAATTTTGTCAGTTAAACCTTTAATGTAGGGAAGGAAAGCTTTGTGGAGAACGTTGTTGCCTTTTGGATCTTTGGGACTGGACGAAGAAGTTTGTTGACGACGGATGGATCTGTCAATTTGATGGTCTGTGAATCCATTTTGAAGGAGAGGTGTTTTGAGTTGGGCTAGCTCTTGTGGTTTGTTGTGGTGGTCCGTGAGGTTGATAGATCTATGGATGAGATAATTCAAGACGGAATTGGTTTGTGCTGGATGATGGTGGGAGTTTGCGTTGACGTATCTGTTTGTGTGTTGATTTCCTGTAGACCGTGTGGGTGAAGGAGTTATTGGATTTTGTGATGAAGACATCTAGGAATGGAAGGGAGTTATTGGTTTCAATTTTCATTGTGAATTTTATATTTGGGTGGAGGTCGTTGAGGTGATAAAGGGAATTATGGAGACATCTAGGAATGGAAGGGAGTTATTGGTTTCAATTTCCATTGTGAATTTTATATTTGGGTGGAGGTCGTTGAGGTGATAAAGGAAATTATGGAGAGTTTCGGAGCCGTGGGGCCATATGACAAAAACGTCATCTATGAAAAGGTTTGCAAGGACTGGTGAAAGAGGAGAACCAATGGGGGCGCCCTTCACTTGTTTGTAGAAAGTATCCTGAAAGAGAAAGTATGTGCTGGACATACAAAAACAGGACATTGAATGTAGGAAATGATTTATCGAACATAGCACTCATGAAAATGGCAAACGATATACACGTGTTTTGGGCCTTTGGCTCATCATCAGTATGGTGCAGCCAAATGCACGGATAGGCAACACTTGGTTGTCAAAAGAACTACAAATGCACGGAGCCATCAGCAGAAGCCAGCCGCACATTTGTGGTTTCAGTTGATATTGTGTTTACAATACACGTGTGTTTACACGGAGGCAGCTATAGCTACCTGCGTGACATTCGGGTCCGAAAACTAATACAGATGAAAATATTATTGGGTGTCTTGATTTGAATATAGGAAATGATTTATCGGACATATGAGCCAAAAGCCCGAAACAGTTTTATATGGTTTGCCACTTCCTTGAGTGTTATAAAGTGTATAAAGATAGAGAAGAAATAAGCCAAAAACCTTTCTTTTCCGATAACAAATATCTTCTGAGAATATACCACTTCCAATTTAAATTTTGATGTGAAATTTCGTTTCACAAAAAAATATACGAATATTGTTCTATATAATTGAAAATTATGCCGCCTTGGAGATTATCTCTCATGGACCAGCTCTCTTCTCAATCAGTGAACCTTGAAAAGACTCACAAGTCACTCAGTTCAAAATGTGTTTTGTCATTGACTGACATTGACTGGTAGATTTGTATATAAAGTAAAAGTAATGTTGGTGTGGAAATGAAATACTCAATGTGGTGGTGGTTTCCAAAATATTATTGAAACAAATACTAATCAAATGAATATAGTACGTTCATTTTGTGAAATATGTGAGCAAAAGTTCATAATCACCCTGAACTGCCATTTTCAATACGTACAAATACTATCAGAAGTTTCTCTTTGTCCATATCCCATCAATCCAATTCACGCCATCAGTTTATTATATCTTCATTATAAAACCTTTGAACTCATGAATACGTAGAAGGTATATACAATTTTCATCAATTTTCAGGAAAATATCAGTGCGATCAATGTTATAGAATTTATAGTAGAAAACATGGCCTACTTCAACACAAAACCTTCGTTTGTGGTAAAGAAGCCCAAATCAGGTGTCCATATTGTGCCCATAGGTCAAAGTTGAAAGGAGACATGAAGAAGCATCTTCGACGAATTCATTCCATAGACATGAGTAATGCTGACATGAGAACCCTTCTATCACAATCATTTTAAGAATGTTAGTACCGGGAGAAAAATGCCAAGGGGAACCAAGAAGCGATTGGAAAATGTATTTGAAAGTATAGCTACATTAAAAGTCGATAAATGATTTATATTTCGAATGAAATTCTATATTATCGGCCGGATAGTGTGAAAATAAAGATTCACACCTGATTTGCACATTTTCAAAGACAGTAATTCATTTTGAAACTCTTATTATTTATATTTGAATGGAGAAGTTACAAACCAAAAAGTAATCATCTGTTATATTTTCATAGTCATGATAAAAAAATTGTAAAGTACAGTTTAATTGAACCCGTCTCTTTTGTAAATTTATCAAAGATACCGTGCGAAAAGAGAAATGAAGACAAAATTTGGATGTACAAGAGAGATACGGAGCGAAATAGAATTTCGACAATAACAATTTATTACCAAAAATTACATGTAATGTTTCTTAATCTACAAGAACTGTTGAAAATGACTACCCCCTGCTCGGATGCAAGAATCCAATTTTCTCATCGACTCCCGAACTCTTTCAATAACACCAGGATCACTTAAGAGACATACTATTCAAATGTCTGCAGCCGTATGTAGTAATCAGAATGTTGTTGATGGGTACCAACGGAATTGTTATATTTTTATCACTTGGTAGGTCCAGTGTAGTTCGCTACACTTTTATTTCGGCTACGTTAATAATTTTGAAATTATTAAAATTTTTATTGTAGAAATTCTTTTTCGCTCCGTATATTCAAAACAAAGCGCCCTAACAGGACAAAATATATTTGGAATAGTCCAAAGAAAGTCCCTCAATTTTTTTCCGCATGTTTATTGAACACCCTGTACAGAAAACCCAAATTATGTCTAATTTATTAAAGGGAATCTATGTATAGTAGACAAAAAATACCGGATCTTAGACTATCCATTTTGTATAAGTCAATGAGTGTTTGTTTGAAGGTGATTGACAATGTTTCATGATGAATTTCACTAGTTCGGACTTCCATTGTCTAATATATAAAATGATTTTAAATTCCTTCAAATTAAAAAAAAAGAATTGAAAATGAATAGCTGAAAATAACAATTATATTAAGCAAAAATTACCTGAAATGAAATAATAGTGAAATAGGGGGGTGGAAAACGCAACCCTTAAAATTTATTTCCGATAGCGTGTTTCATTCTAAACAAAAAATGTTCCTAGGGTTTTTTGCTCAAAATAAACCAGTTCGCAGCAAAAAATTATTTTACGAACAACTACAGAGATACATCGTCATAAATGCGAACTGGATTTATTGTTATTCTGTAGTTAGTACCTGCATTAAACGATTAAAGGGTAATAAACAAAACTAATTTATTAATAACATATTCGCTCGAATATTCCTGGAGTCTCTCTGATTACCCTGCACGCATCGATGATGCGGTTTTTCAAGTCCTCTACATCGCGAACAGGAGTACGATAAACCAAATGCTGTAAATGGCCCCAAATAGAGAAATCGAGTATTCAAACATAACTTTAATTTGAAAACCCATGAGCGACATTGTTACTAGAAAGGGTGTTTGTGATACCAAGAAAAATATTTCTCCAACTGGAATGATATTTCAGTTTTTTGTTTGTACAATTTTCACAGATAGGATATTTCACTTCTATTGAATTTTTTGAAAGTGAGTTCAGTATTCATTAATAGTTATGAGTGAAATGGTTGAGAAAAAATTATGGTATTCTTTGTCCCTCAACACTACTTTCGAAAAACTTGCAAACATCTCTATTGGATACTATTTAGTCAATATTCATATAAGTATTGAAAATATGTACGAATTTCTATTGTGTGGGATTCACCGAGATATAGATGATGGATTGTATTATAGTGATAGTTCGATTCAGAAAACTTGGGAGGAATCGATACGCAAGTAGATATTTCTAAAGTGAGTGGGCACTTTCGAATCTCAACTACAACTTGGCAAACTTGACTATACAGGATGTAACTGAATAAGTGTAAAACATTTAAGAAGGTGATTCCTCATCGAAAAAAAGATAGGATCTTTCATATAAAGAAATTTCATTTGAGCATCCCTTGTTAAGATACAGCCCCTTAAAGGGGGTACATAAAATTTGCATGACAATTTTTTCACAAGCACTAAAAAAGTTACAATATTGAAATTAACCTGACGTTTTGTACTATCAAAAAGACACTTAGCCAGAAATTTATTTGGTTCATCCCATGGTTGTAAGGGGTGGAAAACGTGGGTGGTTATTATTTGTTTACCATTTAAAAATTCATTTCCGATAGCCTGTTTCATTCTAAACAAAAAATGCCTCCTGGGTTTTTTGCCCAAAATAAACCAGTTCGCAGAAAAAAATTATTTTACGAATAACTACAGAGATACATCGTCATAAATGCGAACTGGATTTATTGTTATTCTGTAGTTAGTACCTGCATTAAACGATTAAAGGGTAATAAACAAAACTAATTTATTAATAACAAAACACACAACATGTAGAAATCATAGTAAATGTTCAATATGTCTACCTTCAGACATTACGCATGCGTCTAGACGTCGGCACATTGAGCCACGTATTCGCTCAAATATTCCTGGAGTCTCTCTGATTACCCTGCACGCATCGATGATGCGGTTTCATAAGTCCTCTACATCGCGAACAGGAGTACGATAAACCAAATGCTGTAAATGGCCCCAAATAGAGAAATCGAGAGGATTGAGATCCTGGTATCGAGCGGGCCAGTTCTGTGGTCCTGCATTTGTCATAAAGTATTCAAACATAACTTTAATTTGAAAACCCATGAGCGACATTGTTACTAGAAAGGGTGTTTGTGATACCAAGAAAAATATTTCTCCAACTGGAATGATATTTGCATATGTTTCAGTTAAATGCTGACGTGCTACTTGACTAAAATGGGCGGGAGCCCATTTTAGTCAAGTAGCACTTGACTAAAATGGAATGGAACTAAAATGGAAGGAACTTCCTCCAGCAGTACTGGATGCACTTCTCTTAAAAATTGAACATATGCCTCACCATTCAATCGAGGAGGTAGAAAATGAACTCCGAGCCACACGTTAAGAGGAAACTGTTCTTGATGGTTAGTTTCGACAATAGCGTGAGGATTTTCATCAGCCCATATGTTGTAATTATGAAAATTAATAATCTTGTCCCGAGAAAAACTACATTCGTCTGTGAATTTTATCGTCTTCGGAAAGTCACACTTTCTTCTAATCATTTCCAGCATCCAATTGCAAAATTCAAGACGGTTCGCGGTAACAGTGCCTGTACTCGTTGCAGATGGTAAGGGTAAGAGTTGTTCCTTTAAAATTCGAAATACCGTCATATAATCAACATTTAGCTGGAAAGCAATCTTTCTAGTACTGGTAGTAGATTGTTTTTCAATCAAATTAAGTACTGCTTCCTCAAGTTG